GAAAATCTCATTTTCAACACCTGGATGCAAATCGAGCGCCGCTGGAAACGAAGCGGGAGTCCAAATTGACGGGCATACGTATAATTCCCCGAGATGAGTGTCGGAGAAATTCTTTTTTTTTTTTTTTTTCTTTTTCCATACTCTCTTGCCGCGCCATCCTATACATGAATATGTACCTGTGCGCGGCAACCTTGTCGCGCCTCTTTCCTCCTCGTTTTTTGTGCGACCCGCACGGGTTCCTGCGGATGAAATACTTGTTTGCGGGCGTCACTCCTCGGGATCACAGCGTCAAGCGGTTTTTCAATCTCAATCGAAATCACGAGATCCCGTGGGTCGAACACGCGCTCTCCTATCTCCCCAAGCGCGTGGGAGCCTTTGACGCTCAACCAGATTTTTTTTTCAATTCCATATCAAAATATACAAAGGTTTGGAAAAAAAAAAAAAAAAAATCGAACAGCCTGCGTGGCCGCACCATTGGATCGGCGATCGGCAAAACGGAATCGCTCGTGTGATAATGAATGCAACGATCTGTATAATATACATTGGGTAAATCTCAACATCGTGAGTCGAAGAAATTGCCGTATAGTCATTTCGTGTATGAATCACGGATCGTACCACCAGAGAGACGATTCGAGCGAAGTGCCGAGCCATTGTTGATCCGCGAAAGGGACAAGTTGCCGATTTCAGCGGAGCTGTCACGTTAACGAGAACAAAGAAAAAAGTGCAAACTTTCTCTGACTATACTGTCACAATGGGAGTCTTTGCGTGGTACAAACCACCTAATGTATACACGAGTGGTAAAAATAATAAAATCCAACTATAACTGGTAGCCAAGAGCGGCTTGTAAAACTCCCATTGCAATTTTAATGGGCCCGAGATAGAGACAATGAAGCATTACGAGCTGTTTTACGATCCGCCCGCACGCACGACAATTAATGGGTGTGCGCATAAACGAATGGAGTCCCCGATACCAATGCACCGATTAGCTTTCCCAACGCTTGAGTAACGCGATTCTGGTCCACCCTCAGCCCCGCTCCTCTTTTTTTCAATTAATATTATAAGAATTTAATGACAAAGATACGTAGGTGCGTACGTACAATTAAGGGATTTATCGCAAGCAGCCTCGCAAAGTCACGTTACGAGGGAGGGAAAAAAAAAAGGAGATAAAAAGTCTTATCGGCTCTCTGTTGGTGATTGGGGCAGAGGGGGGGGGAGGAAGGAAGAAGCGTATAGATAGCAATTAGTTTATCCGAGATGATCGGCTCGTCAATGAGCGAGAGATAACAAGTACAGCGCTCGCACTGTTTTATACACGCGCGCGTGAGTCTTTAGGATCGCATTGACCTTATACCGAATAAATCACAGGGGGCACTTCCGCGTGTGCGTGGAGACGCAGTCGGACCAGTTATTCGTTTTGCTGCACTTGGATGGAGAGAAAAGAAAAAAAAAAAGCAAAATCAGTTCAGACGGTACATGTAATATATAGGTACCACGGAGAGAGCATCGGAAGAGGAGTTAAGAGGATGGAGAGCTAAACAATGCCCCCTCGGAGAGAGAGAGAGAGAGGGTGTTTGGGTACACATATATATGCAGCATAGAGTCTGCCGGCGTTGTAGCGTGGCCGCTCGTACTAGCCTAGTTTCCTCCCCTCGTTATTAATAGAAAATGCAATAAAACGAGACTCTAGCTGTATATACCTCGGTGGCTCTCTCACGCGGAAACCGGGTGCGGACGTCACGTTACGTAAGGGCCGAACGGTATATATAGAGAGCCTTTCTCCCTTGGCTCTGCGTGTATGTACCATTGGTGCTGCTTTTGCGATAATACAGCTTGGTTATCGTCGATTCTTTTCTTCTCGGTGATGGTGTGCACACGCGACTAGAGGGGAAGAGAGAGAGAGAGAGAAATAGGTGGAAAATTCAAAGATTAATGGCATCAGGTGAAACTTTCATGGGATGTGTATCGTTTGTGTGTTGTGAGGGAGAAAAGTTGTCACTCCTTATCTGGATGCCTGTTACCATACTACTGACTGTCGATTTAGGGCGCAAAGCAAAACACACACACACACCCGGTGTTTAATTAACTCGATCTCGATACGGGATGGGGGGAAAAAAAAGAATCCTCTACGTGTACATGTGCCACACTGTAACGGCTTTATTAGCCAAAATGATAAATCGTGTCGAGTTGAAATTTTTCAAGCCCATCTGTGTGTTGTTATTATAAATGGATGGTGCGAAAAAACGATCGATCGCTGGAATGTTGATTTTACATTGAAAAATAATAAGTACTGGCAAGAGCTGACAAATTTGTTTGCACCTGTTCTCGGGTAGGGGGAGGGGGGAAAGAAGATCGGCTTGTTCATTTTTTACTGTATGCACGTACACAAAAACACGAATGATGGAAAAAAAAAAAAAAAAAAAAAAAAAAAAAAAAAAAAAAAAAAAAAAAAAAAAAAAAA